AAATCTCTGCAAACAGTTCAGATTTAAAGAAGGGGATGATAGAGAAAGCAGAACTGTTGTTCAATGCTCCTCTGAATTAACCACATCACTGGAAGACAGAAAGATGGCAAATCTTCCACTGCTCTCATCTTTTATATCTACCAGCTTGCTTGCCTGACTTCTGAAATGCAAGGCTTTAAATACTGCTTAGTTCAACTTACCCAGAGGACACTTTTCTCATTCGTTTTAGCACGCTGTGCCAGCAGCAGTAAAGGAGATGGCTGTACGGGCTCAGCTGTGCATATTTCTTGGACCGGGACCTTGGCAGGGCACAATCATGAAATTCCTTTGCTGTCCCAAAGGAAATGCGCAGGCCACGTTATAAAAACACATCCTAAAAATCCCTTTGCCCTAAAATTATTTCACTCAGAGCTCCACCTCCTTTGTTTCTCATCACGGTGAAGAAGTAGAACGGCAGCACCCCATTTTTCTCTCGAAAGGTTTCCTGCTGAGGGGTGCTCACTCACCGCTCGGCCGAGTGGGACCGGACCCAGCCCGCGGCTGGAGGGACTCGAGGAGCTGCGGAAGGCTCCGGGAAAGTGGCAATGGCTCGTCCTCCTCGGGGACAGGATCGGATATTCCACTAAACCAGTGGCTTTCGAAACAATCTCGGGAGCGGAGCGTCCGGATGGGAGGGACGGTGGGAGGGAGAAGGCGGTGGCGGTGGGACGGGACGAGATGGAAGAGGAGAGGGATGGGGTAGCTCTCGGTCAGCGTCGCCCGTGAGCCCGACAGGATCGGAGCGAGCGCCATCTTCATCCTATTTATAGCGGGAGCAGCGGGCCGGGAGCTCGGCCACGGCAGCAGCAGGCGCCGGGGTGAGCGGAGCTCGGGGGATGCGAGCGGGCGTTTCCAGCAGGATGCGGCCCCTCCGGGCTCTGCCGGGCGGCCGGAGGCGCCGCAGGGCCCGGGCACGGCTCGGCACCGGGGCAGCCCCGGGCAGCCGCGTCCCGGCACCGGAGCGGGCCCAGAGCTCCCGGCGGAGCCCCGAGCGGAGCGGGGCCGGGAGGGGAGCGCGGGCACGGCGGGCGGGCGGGCGGGGGCAGCCGGGCACGGCGGCAGCAGCCGGACCCCGGCCCGGCCCCGGGCGGATGCGCTGCCTGCGAGCGGGGCCGTTCGCTCCCTCGCCCTGCGCCGGCAGCGGCCCCGAGCCGGCTCCGGCCCAGCGGGGTCCCCGCTCCGGCAGCCGCTGCCCTCGGCGCCCGCCACTGACACCCTCCGTGCCTGCGCTCCCGCCAGCTGCCCCTGCACGGCCCTCGCCTGCCCGCTGCGCTCTGCCCTGCGCTCAGCCAGCCCAGCTGCGCCTGCACGGCCTGACTGCACCAGCCCGGCATGGCAGAAGGCAGGCGCGACCCCCAGCCCGGGGACCTGATCGAGATCGACCGGCCAGGTTACCAGCACTGGGCCCTCTACGTTGGGGATGGATATGTCATCAACGTCACACCTGTAGGTAAGGCTTGTGCCGCCTGGCAAGGTGCAGAGTGGATGTTGAGATGCCCCAAGAGCCCTGTCTCCTTCCATGTGCTGCTGCTGGTAGACTCTGTGTGTGTGGATGACCTGTCCAGGAGCAGAGGAAACCCATCTGAGGTTGTGGAGAGGCCAGAGATGGTCTGCCTGCCTGCCTTATCTCTTCCCTGACTTCCCCAGATGAAGGAGCCCCATCTCTGTTGGTGAGCACCACATCAGTATTCACTAAAAAGGCCAAGGTGAAGAAGCAGCTCCTGAAGGTGGTGGTGGAAAATCATAAATGGCGTGTCAACAACAAGTATGACCGCTCCCGCACTCCTTTCCCCGTGAAGGAGATCATCCGGCGTGCTGAGCAATGGATTGACAGGGAGGTGCCATATGATGTGCTTACCAGCAACTGTGAGCACTTTGTGACAATGCTCCGCTACGGAGAAGGAGTCTCAGACCAGGTGAGTGCCAGGGGTGAGCCCCGGGTGCCTCCCAGAGCAGCTCCTGGCTGCTGGCTGTGAGCCGGCGCTGAGACACAGCCTGCAGCCTGCAGGGGACAGCCGAGTGCCCGGCGTGGGCTCCAAAGCAGCGCTGCCTCCCCTGCAGGGTCCCTGTGCTCTGTCTGCACCTGGCAGTGCCCTCTCACTGAGTGCCACTTCCTGGGGGTACAAACCTGGGTGCTACCCCTTCTGTTTTTGGGGGCCCTAGGAGGTGGGCCTCTCTCTGATTTATTTACCGTGATTATCCCTGCCTGTTCTAGATTATCCTGCTGGGTGGGGACTAAACATATGTGCTCCTCATATTTCCAGCCTGTGTTTTACTTTCCCTTTTATAGGTCACAAAAGCAGTAATTGGTACTACAGCAGCTGTAGGAGGTATCATTCTTGCTGGTCTTGCCACCGTTGTTGTGAAGGGCTTGTTTGGGGACTCATCCAAGAGAGAGAAAAAGTACTACTGATGGGCTGTCAGGAAGAGCTCAGAGCAAGGCAGGGGGATCTCCTGGCCACAGCATTCACTGGTCAGCTTTTGATGTTCCTGCTATCAAGGCTTCCTAGCAACTCTGCCACCTTTGCTGTAATCATTAAATAATACTAATATAACAATAAACAATTAATATTTAATTAAATAAATTGTCAGAAATACAAACTTTAATTGCCAAAAAATCTTCTTTTATCTAACTTTGCATCCAAGTTCAACTGTTCAGCCTTGGTTTCTCCTGCTATATCATTAAGAAATAAAAAGTCAGGATTGGCACCATTTAAAGTGACCTCCGGCAGCATTAGCCTGGTTGCCATTTCTACTTTTATTTCCTTGCCTGTGATGATTTTTGTGGTAGTCTGGGCACATTTGCACTGGTGCAGGCTTTTCATCCCTTTTCATCAATTGGTTCCTGTAGGCTTTTTCTGTATATCTGTGATTTTAACCTCAACTTTCCAAAAAAGTCAAAAAAGTACTATTGAGGGTTTTCCAGCCGATAGTCAATGTAGGTGGGAAAGCCCTGGCTGCAATGTCTGCAAAGGAGCAGGCAGGGCATGTGCAGTGTCTTGAGTCTGTACTTGTGCTGCTTAAACTGAGAAACTCCTGGGAGGTCGGAGGAAGGGTCAGGTTTTATAAGCTGTGCCCTTCAGAGTTTCTCAGGAGTGCTCTGGTTTGGCATGATGGTGTTATGCATGGTTTTTCCCTGCCTACAAAGTGTTTACAAATGTACTGAGCCACACCATTTCCTTGTCACAAAGCTGATGTGTGCATTGTCTTGGAAGAAAACTCTTCAGGCTAAGTGTGCTTTATTGTCCTTTACCTGGAGCATCTGCCTTGAGTGTTTGGAAGCAGGTTAGCTGCATCCCACCTGTGAGACACAGAGTCTGTGCTGCTTTTCTTACAGGCAACTGCCTGGACTGCAGGGACAGGTGAGAGCAGAAGAGCTGTGTGTGAGAGCCTGGCTGGTTTTGTCTGCTCTGAACAGGTTGTCCAGGTTTAACCCCAGCCAGCAGCAAAGCACCAGGCAGCCACTTGCTCACTCACTGCCCTGGCAGCCCCATCAGGGAGGGAATCAGAAGAGTTGAAATTAAAAACTTGTGGCTTCAGGAAAAGTTGGTTTAGTAGGTAAACCAAAAGCTTTGCATGCAACAAAGCAAAACAAGGAATCAATTCATTGCTGTTTTAAACAGCAGTTTTTCAGTGTTTGAAATAGCCAAGGCAAAGTTTCCAGTTGTATTTTGTACTGCCCTTTGTTACTACATCTGAACAAAGTTCTTAGTTTTAACACAGGGAAACACCTTACAATCAAACTGAAACTGAAACTCCTTTCTGGATTCCTGGAAATGGAATCAAAACCTCTGTCATGGCTAAGCTATTGAGGTGGTTATACAGAACTTCTGAACTTTCCTGCTCTCAGAGCATTCTCTCTGCACACCCTGACAAGTGAGCACCGTGTGAGGGCAGCATATGGACCTCTCACATCTCTACTTCATCCTACAATAAAGAGAATTGGCATTATTTTATCTGGGGAATTGTCTTGCTGTTTGTGAAAGCTGCAACATTTCATAGAATGCAGAAGTTGGCAGTTGTACCAGGCATCTTTTGCAGTCAGGGTGATGTTGTTCATTGTGGGATGCCTTTCCTTGAGCCTGGTGGGTGCATTGACAGGATTTGGTGGAACACTGCCCAAACCATAAGGTGAGAGTGTGAGGAGGAGCAGCAAAATCCATCAGTTGCTACATTCTGCACTTCTGAGCCTTTCTAGGAAATGCTGGCAAGACCTGAGACCTGCTCAAGTTGCCATGGAGTAGAGTCAAGGCTGCTCTTTTCCCAACAGCTGAGAGAACTCTCATTGCCTGTGCTGTGGGGCACACCCAGCACAGGCACAGTGAGTCCCTAAAAAGAATGGAATTTGTAGGACATTAAACAATCTGAATCTAGTGCACATCAGAGGATGAAAACCTGGGCTGATTCAGTACAAGACAGGGAAGCTCCAGCATTGTGCAGCCCTGAGCCTGGCTCAAGGGCTTCACCTGGTCCTCTTCACTCTGTTTGTAGGTGGGATAATGTAAATCTAATCCGTCAAGTTGTTGCTGCAAAGTTTTTGCATTTACACAAGGCTGTTTGCACTGGCCATTTACATCCTCTCTGGGTTTGGTTGACTGGCACACAAGCCAGACTATAAACCTGATCCTGAAGCTGCTCTTTTACAAGATGATATCCTGCCACATGTACGGAAGTGGTGTCAGGGTTGTTTCCTGCCGTGGAACCGAAGCGCCCCTTGAGGGCAGGGGCATCTGGCAGAGAAGAGGTGGCCCAGCTTCGATGGTGGCAGGACCAGAAGCGGTGGTTTTGGCAGCAACCACCGAGCTTTTTCATCCAGCGGTGGTTTTGGCAGCAACCTCGAGAGCAGAGCCTGGAGCAGGCGGCGGGTGTGCCCCGACGGGCTGGCTCCGGGCCAAAGCCGGCAGCGAGCCCTGCGGGTTACACCCACGCGCACGGTGCTCCCTATTTATAGCGGGTAGAGGGAACTTTGAGCCGGGCCACGGCAGCAGCGGGACAGATGCTGAGGTGAGCGGAGCTCGGGGGATGCGAGCGGGCGTTTCCAGCAGGATGCGGCCCCTCCGGGCTCTGCCGGGCGGCCGGAGGTGCCGCAGGGCCCGGGCACGGCTCGGCACCGGGGCAGCCCCGGGCAGCCGCGTCCCGGCCCCGGAGCGGGCCCGGAGCTCCCGGCGGAGCCCCGAGCGGAGCGGGGCCGGGAGGGGAGCACGGGCACGGCGGGCGGGCGGGCGGGGGCAGCCGGGCACGGCGGCAGCAGCCGGACCCCGAGCCGGCTCCGGCCCAGCGGGGTCCCCGCTCCGGCAGCCGCTGCCCCCGGCGCCCGCCACTGACACCCTCCGTGCCTGCGCTCCCGCCAGCTGCCCCTGCACAGCCCTCGCCTGCCCGCTGCGCTCTGCCCTGCGCTCAGCCAGCCCAGCTGCGCCTGCACGGCCTGACTGCACCAGCCCGGCATGGGACAGGACAATTGCAAACCCCAGCCTGGAGACCTGATCGAGATCGACCGGCCACTTTACCAGCACTGGGCCCTCTACGTGGGGAATGGATATGTCATTCATGTGACAGGTAAGGCTTGTGCCGCCTGGCAAGGTGCAGAGCGGGTGATGGAATGCCCCAGGAACCCTGTCTCCCTCCATGGGCTGTGGGTGGATGCTGTGTGTGTAGCTGTCCTTTCCAGGAGCAGGCAGAAACCCATCTAAAGTCCTGGAGGGGCCAGAGAGGGTCTGCCTGACTGCCTTATCTCCTCCTTGGGTTTCGCAGATGAAGAAGCCTCATCCGTTTTGCTTAGCAGCTCATCAATACGTGCCACAAGAGCCAAGGTGAAGAAGCAGCTCCTGAAGGATGTGGTGGAAAATCATAAATGGCGTGTCAACAACAAGTATGACCAGTTCCGCACTCCTTTCCCTGTGGAGGAGATCATCCAGCGTGCCGAGCTGTGCATTGACAGGGAGGTGCCATATGATGTGCTTACCAGCAACTGTGAGCACTTTGTGACAATGCTCCGCTACGGAGACGGAGTCTCAGACCAGGTGAGTGCCAGGGGTGAGCCCCGGGTGCCTCCCAGAGCAGCTCCTGGCTGCTGGCTGTGAGCCGGCGCTGGGACACAGCCTGCAGCCTGCAGGGGACAGCCGAGTGCCCGGCGTGCGCTCCAAAGCAGCGCTGCCTCCCCAGAGCCCCTGCCCCTGCAGGGTCCCTGTGCTCTGTCTGCACCTGGCAGTGCCCTCTCACTGAGTGCCACCTCCTGGGGTACAAACCTGGGTGCTGCCCCTTCTGCTAATGGGGCACATGGCTCTCACTGATTTATTACCCTGAATATCCCTGCCTTTTCTAGATTATCATCCTAGAGCGTTGTAAATATAAATGCCCTTCATGTTTCCAAAACCTGTCTTGTTTTCCCTTTTATAGGCCAGAAAAGCAGCTGCTGGCAGTGCTCTAGCAGCTGTAGGAGGTATCATTCTTGCTGGAGCGGCTCTTGTTGGGATGGCATTGTCTGAGAGCACATCCAGGAGATAGTGCTACTGATGGGCTCTCAGGAAGGGCTCAGACCAAGTCAGGCAGAGTCCCTGGGCACAGCGGTCACTGGCCAGCTTTACAACACCTGCCATCAAGGATTCCTTGCAACTGTGCCAACCTTACTGTAAACAATAAATAATCCTTAATAAAATGTCTGCAATACAAAATCATATTGTCCTAAAATCCTCTTTTATCTGAATATAGTTTTGTGTGCAGGTTCAGCAGTACAGCCTTGCTTCTCCCTGCTATCCCATTGAGAAACAAAGTCAGTGATTTACAGGCATGCTCTAATTTTGGCATGATGGAGTTTTACTCACTTTTGCCCTGCCTATAAAGTGTACTTTTCCCAGGCTCTTCTGACTCCCTTTGGGAGCAGCAGACCCCCCAGTGTGGGGAGGTCTGACAGGAAAACCCAGTGGGGTCTCTCTCTATCAGCTGTTTGTTCCACTGTACCATTGAAGTTTTCTCCCATCACCCTGTAAGTGCAGTGGTTGCTGGCATTGGACCTGAATAAGCATGCCAGGAGATTTTTATGGTCCCTTCCAATCCAACCCATTCTAGGATTCTGCTCTTTCAGCTTCTAAAAAAACATTGAGGCTTAAAGAATTGCAAGGACAGCAAGGGGACTTTGCCTGCCAGAGCTGGGGCAAAGTCACTTCAGTGATCAAATGTTGATTCCAATGCATTCACAGTCCCAGCACCAGATCAATCTTCCCCCAGCCAGCAGGAAGGCAAAGCCAGGGTCCCTGCAGTGCTGGGGGTGAGGGATGTGAAGAATGAGCTGTGCAGCACCTATGCTTCATCTCCAGGTGTACTTGAGCCACACCATTTCCTTGTCACAAAGCTGATGTGTGCATTGTCTTGGAAGAAAACTCTTCAGGCTAAGTGTGCTTTATTGTCCTTTACCTGGAGCATCTGCCTTGAGTGTTTGGAAGCAGGTTAGCTGCATCCCACCTGTGAGACACAGAGTCTGTGCTGCTTTTCTTACAGGCAACTGCCTGGACTGCAGGGACAGGTGAGAGCAGAAGAGCTGTGTGTGAGAGCCTGGCTGGTTTTGTCTGCTCTGAACAGGTTGTCCAGGTTTAACCCCAGCCAGCAGCAAAGCACCAGGCAGCCACTTGCTCACTCACTGCCCTGGCAGCCCCATCAGGGAGGGAATCAGAAGAGTTGAAGTGAAAACTTTGAAGCTTGAGAAAAAGAAAAATAATTAATTCTTTGCTTTTGTTAAACATAAGTTTTTCAATGTTTGAAATCATCAAGCCGAGAATTCCTGTTGTTTTTCTGCTGTCCTTTGTTATTACATCCTTCCCAATATTTTTTTTAGTTTTAATACAGGAAAACATGATATAACCAAACTGAAACTGAAACTCCTTCTTGGATTCCTGGAAATGCAACCAAAAATTTTTTTGCAGCTATACCAGTCAGGTGGTTTTACAGCTGGCAATGAGTACAGTCAAGGCTGTTCTTTTCTCAGAAGTTGAAAAAAATATCAATGTATGTGCTCTGAGGCACAGCCAGGACGGATGCAGCCCCTCCCTAAATGGAGAGGCTTTTGTAGGGATGTCAGCCATGTGAATCTGGTTCACATCAGAAGATGAAACCTTGGGCTGAAGCCGCAGCATCGTGCAGCCCTGAGCCTGGCTCTAGGGTCTCACCTCACTCTCTTTACTGTGTTTGCAGGTGGGTTCACATAAATCTAATCTGTTACAGCCTAAATTGCTGCTAGTAAAGTCCAGGGTGAAGAAGCAAAAAAGACTTTTGCATAATATCCATAGATGTATAATTCAGTGAGATGTTCCCACACCCCCCCAAGGTCCAGCTCTCTCCCCCAGGGGCCTCCCAGCTGACCTTGGTCTCCAGGCAGTATCAAGGTGAGGCCCAATCAGGGAAAAGGGAGGGAGAGCCTCAGGAACACCTATGTTCAGGCACAGGAATAGGGAAAGCAGCCAATGAGGTGTAACTTAGGAGAAGCCCCTCCAGGGCCTTCACAACTCCCCATTTTTTACATTATTAAGAAAGCTTTTCTGAAAGATCAACTGAATTAACTCAAAATGACAAAAACAATCAAAAGCGCCTATAAGACAATTTTCAAAATGTAAACAGTTCTGAGTCCCCAATGTCCAAACAGACTTTTTGGAGTGTCTTAGAGCTGGCAGGAGGGATGTGGGGTTTTCTTAGCACGGTTCTTCAGGAAACTGAGTCAGGAGAAAGTTTCTTCAGCAGGGGCTTTGTCTCCTGTGGTAAAGTGGTCAGCTGTGATAGACTCTGCCCAAGGTAGTGTAGGTGGTGGTTTGCCTCTTGGAAACTCCAAATAGAAATCATTACTTTAAGAAAAAATGGTTACTTTAGGGAAACTTTCCTTTCTTTCCCTCCTAATCACGCTCCCTCTGGTATTACAAAGGAACTCTGGGGAAGGGGATTAGTAGAGGGAGACCATGGGAGAGAGGAAAGGGTGGTAGGAATTTGTGGGAACATAAAAAAGGGGTAATAGGACAATGGAAAGGAAAAGGAAAAAGTGGGAGGTGGGCAGGAAGGCCACAGGAATTGGGGAAGGGTATTAGAAGAAGTGGGACTTATCGGACTGGAAGGTTCTTTCATTATCGACATGGGCTTTTGGATGCAGGACAGCTCGCCCGTGTTCTGTGCTCTTCTTGCTTTTAGACTGTTGCTGGGGCTTGATGGCTGTTGTTTTTGGGTTCTATTTCTTTGGTAGGTGTGTGGAAGACTTCTATGATGTGGATAATATCTCACAGGTTTGTAGTCTGGTGCATGTTTACTACCTTGCACTGGAACTCCACCAGGTCCCATCACATCGGCTGCTTGGGGGCCTTTTCTTCCTTGTATTATATTAAATTCCACAATTTCTCCATCTCCTAGACTGTGGAGATATTTCTTGGGATTATTCTCTTTTATAGCAGACTGATGAACAAACACATCTTCTTTGTTATCATTCCAGGTTATGAAACCGGTTGTCTTTCTTGCATTGAGAAATTCTTCACCTCTTTGCAGGTCAGTGACACCTAAAATAACAGACCACATACCACCGATCACTGGTCCTGTGTTTGCTTGGGATTATTTTGAGATATTCAGTGAATCACAGGAGTGACCTGAGTTTCAAATTTGCAGACAAATTTGAGTACAAGCCTATAATATTCTTGATAGACAAAAAAGAAAAGCCTGTGCTTATTGCAGCAAGAGGACAGAAGCCCTGGCTTGAGTATTAACATCAATTATCCTTAATAACAGTAATTTCCATGTCCACAGTGAGCTTTGCACTGCTAAGATTTAAAGCCTTTACAAGCTGGGTCAGTAACTCAATGCTGAATTTACAAGGCAGTAAGTTAGGAGGATATTTAGGAACTTGTGCAGCACAACACACTTGATGTGACACAGGCAATTACTGTGATTCTACATCTGCTCTGGATATTTTGACATATCAATATTACTTATGCACTAAATCTTCAGCAGATGCAAGTCAGCTAAGAGATACACAGCAGCTGAACTTCAGGCTGTGCATCTCTCTAGTTGCTGGGCTCTGTGCATCTTTAACTTACAAGCAATGAAAACTTGTTTGTAGAATTAACTAATGACATTTAATGAGCCCAAGGCTTGTTTGTGGGAGGAATCACATATATGCAGTTGCAGTGGGGCCAGTGGAAATCCTTTTAGGATTTCAGCTCCAACATAAGCTCTGATTAAAGTTTTGATTAAGGTCAAAACCACTATAAAGTTGCGCTTTTTGTATGACTGTAGAAACTCCACATGAGTGTTTTGTCTGCAAATATTTCTGGTAGTACTTTCATGTACATGTTGTACTGCTCCTCCCTGATCTTCTGTGAAACAATGGCTATTCTTCACAGCCCAGAAGAAAATGAGAATTGAGGTAGGATTGCAATTCCTTCCACAGGAAACCAGAAGAGGTCAGGAATGTGAGATATTTTCTGGGTCATTGATTACCCAAACTAATTCCATCCTGAACTTTGCATCTTTCTTGATAAAGTGAATTATTAATAACGGGTGACTGTTTTGTTTTTGACAAACTCACATTCTCTGTCTTCTAGCTGTGTAATCAGACCACTGATTTCAAGTTTATGAACCATCGTCTCAACAACTGGCATCTCAGCATACTCCTCAGGAATCTTTATATCTCAGGTGTTTTTCTTTATATTTCACTTGTTTTCCAGTGTTTGTCCCAGCCTTTCTCTTAATAAACACATATTAATGCAATATTTCTAAATCTACAGTCCTGGAAAACTGGAAACTGAAATTTGATGGGTTACAGTGACATTGTCATGGGAACAGAGCAGCCTTTGAAAAAAGACTGATTTCATTGTTGCCATAGCACAGTCTTCCTGGTGTTGTTACAAGAAATCCTGCTCCTTCTGCTTGGAAGAAGCTGGTTGGGTGTAGATTTTCAGCTGTCAGAACACAGAGCTTCTCAAGGGCCTTTGAAGGTGAAGACCATAGTGTGGTCTGATCATTTTTCAGCAAGCAACAACCAGAATCTCCCTCCCCTGCCTTGGACTCCAGTGTTTCCAATTCAAATTAAGAGAGCAAATGCAGGCAGCCCTAAGTCACTCAAAACCCTTTCAGATCCAGGGGATTTCCCTGAATGTCCTTATCCAAAACAACCAGTATGTGACAGGTCTCCATGCCTTCACATACAGCTCCCCAGGCAGAGGATGGAAACCTAGGGATTTTCTGAAACTTGAATATTGAAAGCATATTGTTGGTGGGACTGCTTTTAAGAGTGCCAAATAGTACTCAATGATTAATTCTCATGAGTTTATCTTGATGTGAAGTAACTGAGATGGGAGAACACTCTGGTGGGCTGTGACAGGAATCTTATTTAGCAACTGCTGTGTGAGAAGAAACCGCGCTATTGGAGAGGAAACAACTCACAACAGTGTTCTCAAAATATCCTGGTGATGTGCCCTTGGAGAAGGGTTGTGAGGCTGCAGTGTGGAAAGGGAGTGCATCTGCTTGGGCTGGTGCTGCTCTCTCACAGGGCTGGACAAGCACTGCTAGCCTGCTCCCAGTCATCCTGGAGCAGTTTGAAAGCCACAAGGAGCCCCAGCTTCACTTCCAGATGTAGATTTTATATTTGCATAGCCACAGGCACTTTGTCCCTCCCACCTTGGTGTTAAAAATGGGTAAGTTGATTAGACCC